GGGGCGAAGTGTTCGGGCTACATGACCCTCCAAACGGAGAGTTATGAGAAAAAAAAGAAAAACTGGCAAGACGGCTGAACAAAAGTCCAAAGAAACCCACAAATGTGAGAATTTACTCTGTTAAAAATTACAATAATCACTGTTTTATCTTAGTTTAATGTCGATTCAGTGTATTATGATCATTTTCTTCATAACAAGCATAAAAAAATCGCCCATGTGTCGCTAGCTAGCTAACTTTCCCATTCCACCTTAAATAGTCCAGCAGTTCTGATGCCTGAAGCGCCAGAATGTAACTGCTGCACCATTTAAGATGGAATGGGAAAATTCAAACAGTAAGCTGATGAATATCTGACTTCAGCTTCATATCACTGAAGAATTAGGGGTGGGTGATAATAAATAATTGCCCCCCTCTTTGAAGGCATGAGTCCCTAAATGTAACTGAAGCCCAGCAGTGAGGAGCTGAACTTTACCCTCCTCTGCTGTCACTGCAGACTAGCAGGGTCACCTACACAGCAGCGCTGGTAGCTGTTAATGAAGTGATGCTCTTTTTATTTGAGGGTCCCATTTCAGAGGGAAGATTTCAAACACTACTCCTGTAACTCAGTTCCAAGGGGCAACACACGAAAACAAGGGGTAGAGGTAAAAATAAGAAATAAGACTGGGCCTTACTGGCTCAGTGGTGGTGTCAGGAACCACACGTCTGAAAAGTTTAATGTCTCTAAAAGATACACAAAGATATGCAAACCTTCAGCTGTTAAGCAAATGAACTACTACACAACTAGAACTGGAACTCCTAAGACGTAAACGCAACAAAGCTCAAACTACACGCTGTGGTTTTTGTTTTTAAAACACTTTCGAGTCACTTTAGTGGAAAATATGAATATGCATCATCAAGAAGATGAGGAATATTTAAATCCTTTATTCAATCGAGCACGTAGTCAGTTTTAGCGTCGCTACGAAAGTGCTGTGCTGCGTCTCGCAGGTGCCGAGTTAAACGCTGCTCGCTTTTCACGGGACGGCGCTCTGTTTTCACACATGCACAGACTTAGAGAACCGAAAGATATCAGAGTAAGAGTTTACATGGTTTACATGCACCGAAAAAGCCCATTACAGAGCTCAAATCCAGCCTCTTCATCAGATTTCTTAATCAGATTTGTAGGCCTTAATCCAATCTAAGAAATCAGATTGTGCTGTTTACGCAAACACTTGATTAATAAGATAACTGACGAAGCTCGATCACATTATTAAGTGCGTATAAACGCACTTATACATGATAAAAGCATGGCATTATGTGAAAGTTGCTTGAGAAGAGATCAAAATACTCAATAAAGCACAATAATTTCACAAGATACTGTTAACAACAGTGAAAAAAAAACATATTTAGGACATCTCGTTTTCCAGTTTTTTACATAATTTGAAAATGCCTGTAGCCCTTTACATTGTGTGTACATTTCATGATAAATGAACTAAAAGAAACGTCCCAAAATAACACTGAAAAGATTTTGGTTCCATTGACTTACATTAAAAGTAAAGTAGGTTTTTTCCTTCTCCTGTAAAGTCACCATTTTGGAGATACGAGTTTTCTTCCGACAACAGTGATATGTAACGTTTAAATGGCTGTCCAGAAAGAAAATCATTAATTCTGTCTTCAGCCTCTTTTCCGTTTGCGTGTCATGATTCCAGTTTTGAAAAGCGTTTCCAATGTTGATTATTTTCTTGTTCTTGCTGTCGCTAAAGCAATTATTTTTATTTTTCTTAGTCATGTTCTAGATATTTGTAGGTTATTTATACTGGTAATAACAAATAAATCGACCTTTTACAGCAGAAAAGTATCAAAATAAAACTCAGGACTAAAACTAGAACCAACATTTTGCGCTTTAAATTATCTTAGAGAGAGGTCACCTCTAGGAAATCACAACAAACTCAAACACCCACAATGCCTGGCTGTTTCCTCATCTGCCCTTCAGTGAACACCATGTTCACTATGTGAGATATTAATAGAGTCGCATGCATGTGAGCCAAGAGATCCAAGAGAGTCCAACATCTAAACCTGGGCTTAACGCTTCAGTCAGGGGTTCATCAGCTTATTTCTGTTTGCATCATATTCTCACTGTACATACACAAACATATTTGAAAGCGATGCTTTTTAGACGCCTCATTCGCAGAGAGGAACCCTCAGGGCATCTCGGCCTTCAGAGAAGACTTATTTCAAAGAACTAAAAAGTGCATGTGTGTGATTTTTAGTTTATTTGTATACAATATAATCATTCTTGCATTTAAATCTGCAAATATTACAGCGCTACTCTTGTTTTACTGTAAAGATCTGGATGGAAACAAAAGGGTTAAACTCTTGAAGTGGAAAACTGGCCAATCAGGAATTGTGGTATCTAGGCAGATATAGCTTTACGAGCTCTCCTTTTGATCAGGACTTCAGGAGCTGAAGAGAAGACCTAACACAGCAGATTAACCAAATTTTGAACTGACAGAGGTACCAACCAATCATGTTTTGTTTAAGCAATAGAACACAGAGGGAGTGTTATCGCGAAATAACATCACGGCTGTGATTTGGACGCTGTGGATCATCGCAGCCGTGATGTTATTGGCGATAACACACTCCTCGAGTGTTCTATTGCTTTTATACTACAGTTAAATAAATAAAGTAATAAATTAATAAACTGGGTCGTGAACGCGGCGTTTAATATGTTTTAATGTTCGCAGTTCCTTCACCAAATTATAGTTCCTTAACGAGCAGCTTGTTGCTACGTCAGAGTAATGAGCTCCGCCCACTCGCTGCACAGCCGGCAGTTCGTTCTCCAGCTCCTTACACTAAATTCCCAAACTGTCACCACTGAGCAGCTTTTTTGTTTTTTTATTGCAGCAGTTTTATGGCTCAGTCTGATCTGGTCAGACTCTGAAGATCAGACTACACGATTGGCGAATGGTGTTGGGTTCATTTCTGGCTGATTCCAGGTTGTTTAGCTGTTCTTCTGTCACAGCTGCCGACTGAAAAGCTGCTCAGTGGTGATGACAGTTTGGGAATTTAGTGTCGTCTCATCTTCAGAGTCTGACCAAATCAGCTGTCGGTCAAATGTGATCTTAAAAGTGTCCATTTTCTGTTTGTGGCAAAGTAAGAAGTAAAAACGTTCAAATGTCTCGAGCGTCTCCTACAGCTGTCAGAGTCACTGCTTAGCAACGGCGTCTCAGTGGAGTGAAACGGTGTTTGTGAAAAACCTGTGATGTTATGGTGAAATAACAGCATGGTTAGAACACTTCTCAACCAATCAGCTTGCGCGGCCGGAAATAACTGCTGCATAATTTCCAATACAATATAGTGAGGAAAAAAAGTCACTCCAGACCTTCTGGAGGTTCTAGATACATCACTGACAGTGAAAATGAGTGGCAACCTTATCTATAGGTTGTTATAAATGGAAAACAGCAGCTCAATACCAGCCTCACTACAGAGCCACTGCAGAACTGCTACAAGGTAAAACACATGCAAGTATATCTTTCACAAGCCTCAAGTAAAACATGGGACGTCTTTTAGAAGCTGCAGATGTTTGAGAAACACCTGAACTCAAAAATTAATGCATATTAATGTAATGTATTGCTATTAATTGCTATTGATGAAATGTCATGAAGCTGCAATTACAAAATGCTGCAAAGGGCTTTTAACTTGAAAAGACGGTTACAGGAAGTGGATGAACATTTCGCGAACAGTCAGAGCCGAGTTGAGCCCAAGTGCCCAATGAAACGTTATTAAGTCCAGTTTTATATTTTGTGGGCTTTTGTGGTCTGAAATATGAATGAAGTGGGTCAAATGACCTGCTTAGTTGAGTTTAGCTTTTCCTTTCTCCTTTTATTTAAGCCTCTATTGCATAATGTTGCCTCAGGGCAACAAACTAATTTTCCTACACTTTACAATAAAATTATACACAGTTAAAGGCAACAAAAGGGTTAACAACAAAGGGAAGAGTTTGAGTGTGACTATATAAAGCATGTACTTGGTCATACTCTCTCTTAGTGGGCACATCTAAACCTCATTTTTACCATTCAGTATCAACTGTTATGAGAATTTGCAGAAATATGTTTGTTGCCTAGAAGCAACATTGTGCGACAGCTGAATGGATTTAGCCAGTCACAAGCCAGGTGAGTTCACCACTTCAGGGAACACAGCTCTATATCATTTCTTCCCACTGTCGCTCAGTGTTGCCTCAAGGCAACATTGTCCAAAAGGAGCCCTGCACACATTATTTTTTAAATGTTTTTGAATTTAATAACTGGGTCTGAAAAAATAAATCAAGGACCATTTTATGCAAGAAAAGTCAATTGAATATTTTTTTATTTCATTATTTTTTTGATTCTTTTTAATGTAATACTTTATTGCAACCGTTTTATTTGATGTTAATTCTTTTACTGTTCTATTCTAGTAAATAATTTGATTTTTCTAAAATTGTAGTTTTCTTATTGTTTACTATCTAAGTTGGCTCTTTTACTTAATTTTAATGTGTTTTAATTATATATTTTATTATTATTTTATGCCTGTTTCCTATTTCAGCTGTTATTATTTATTATCACATTAATATTTATGTATTTATTGTTTTATACGTCTTTTTGTTTTGCTGATTTTCACTCGTTCTAGTTGATAAATTTCACTTCAACTTTTTCAGTCTCTGTTTAATTTGCTCGGCTACACTGTAAATGAAGGTCACCCTCAATGTACTTCTGAGTCAAAATAAAGGTTGATTAATTGATTGATTGATTCGTTCATTGAAAAAATGACTCAAAAGCACTTTCAACTGTTCTCCTACAAAGTCAAAGCATCACAAGGCTTCATTCAGCCGTCCCTGGTTTCCATGTCTGCACTGTGTGGACTGAGAGGTGAACAGAATTAATAGTATGTAAAACACTGTTTACATTCCACACCAGACTCGTCCCTTAATGACTGTTCTAGAAACCTGATATTCCTCATTGTCTCTTTAACAGCACCTAAAATTTCACCATAATTCAGTGTGAGAGATGTAAACAGAGTCATTCAGAGTGGTTTGGTGTGAAAAGGTTCAGATGTCTTTACAGTGGTCTTGATAGGAACCAGGGGTCGCCATGACTACAACACAAATATAGACATTTTATTTACTATCCAGAACCACCAGTGACCATACACAAGTCTCCTGAGTTTATCTGGAATGTTGATGATGGAAAATAGTGGAAAATCTGAAATAATAAGTTTTGGGTGGACTGTTGTGCCTCATGATGTCCTGCATGTATCCCTCCACCACGAATGGATTAACAAGACATTTTAGGCCAAAACTTTCTCAAAACTAAGGTAAAATAATGTGTCGGTCATCAGGCAGTGAATTCATAACCATTTCATGTAGTAACTTTCTGTGAGGGAGCTTTTAGAGGTGGACGTCTGGTTCCTATCACATCAATTCTGACTCTGTATGTTTCCCGAGAACAGAGCGTTTCACACCAAACCACTCTGAACGACTCTATTTACCTTTTAATCTTAACCACTTAATTATGCAGGAATTTTGAAAAATAGGTGGAGCTCTCCTTCAAATACCAGCAGGCACTCTGGTGTAGCTCCTCCTGAGGAACAGTAAAGTGTTTGAATGAGTATTAAAGCCTAATTTTACAGGGTTCGATTAAAAATAGTGAAGGTGGAGTATCAATTAGTATCGGTCAGTATCACCATAACAAAAGAAGGACAGAATGAGAGGAGAAGAGAAGAGAAGAAAGGGGTGGGAAGAGAAGAGAAGAGAAGAGAAAGAGAGAGACAGAGCAATTAAGAGGACAGAGAGAGAGAGAAGAGAAGAGAAGAGAAGAGGGGAGAAAGAGAGAGACAGAGACCAATTAAGAGAAGAGAAGAGAGAGAGGAGAGAGAGAGAGAGGCGGAAAGAGAGAGAAAAGGGAGAACAGAGAGAAAAGAGAGAGACAGAGAGAGAGAGAGAGAGAGAGAGAGAGAGAAAGAAAAAGAGAGAGAAAGAAAAAGAGAGAGTCCGCCTGAGGGACAGTAACACCCTCTACCAAACCTCTCACTGTAAATAAGTTAAATATATGATCTATTATCATATTTCATTCTTTAACACGTGCTGGCTTTCTTTATTTGTTTACTTCTTTAAGTTACTATTATTCCTGCTTTTATTTCACTGATTCTTCTTATTATTCTTATTATTATTAATAATAATTCCTGGTGCTATTAATATAAAAGTGCCGTTAGTTCGACAGATTATGTTCAGTTTGAAGCTCTCAGGCTTTGGAAACACAGTTCTGAACGCAGCCAAGCCAATAAAGCTTCTCTGAGTCTGACAGAGATAAAGAGACCCTCCCACTGCTGTCATGTTAGCTTAGCCGTTAGCCGCTTGTGTAACACCAGCTGCTGTAAGCCGGTCAGTCCGGGTTTAATGAAAGACTTCTCGTTTATCTTTGGTGCTCTGAGGCTAATTTTGCTCTCTGAGGTCAGAAAGTGAAGAAAATCTGCTCATTTTCTCTCTTTGCGAGGTTAAAGTCAGCCGCTCGGTCGAACTGTCCCGTTCCACCTTAAACGGAGCCGCAGGTACATGCTGGCGCCTCAGGCCATGAAGTTAACTGCTGCGCCATTTAAGGTGGACCGGGACAATTCGACCGAGAAGCTGGCGAATAGGAAGCTACTCACCATCCGTCGCACCAAACCCGAACCACGCGCTTCCTCTTCTCCGTCGCGCGCTCCCGCGGCTCTCCGCCGCTCTCACAGGGCGCGTGGTGGCCGTTTTTGATCATTGCTGGACGGCGAGACGGTCAAGGTGGTCAATTGGAGAGCGGTGAAGTAAACAGGGCGGCTGCGCTGCTGGGTGAGCGGTGAGTGTACACTGTACAGGACCGGCCGTACGTCACCGGGCACGCAAACAGCGTCATTACGTCACCACCGCGTACATGTGGCGGAACCAGAGCCGCTTTAGGAGGAGCCTGGCCGCTCCCTGTTCTATGGGAGGCAAATCCAGCCGAAAAGAAATCAAAATGAAAACCATAAAATGTAAATGCAAACCTCTTTTTGCCATTTTCTTTTCCGCATTTTGCATTTTCATTTTCATTTTGTCAGATATGCAGCCGAGAAATAAGAATGAGAACATGAACACTGCATTTTGATTTTAGTTTTGACTCGTTTTCTGCATTTCATGGAGAAAAGCCAAAGTGAAGTTTGGATTTTCTTTTCTCTATTAGCTTTTCCATTTCAGATTTGGCCATGAAAAACCAGAATAACGACTAAAATGAAATGGCAAAGAGCTGTTTTACATTTATTTTTATTTTTGTCACGAATGGCTCGTGCTCATGTGAAAAATGAAATTGCAAATTAAGGTATTTCATTTCATTTTCAATTTTGGCAGGATATTTGCGCAGATGTTTGGAAAAAGAAAAGGCAAAAAGTGGTTTGAATTTACATTTTATTGTTTTCATTTTAATTTATTTTTTTGGCTGGATTTGCCTTCCATACCTATTCCTCCCGTTATAACAAAAACAAGACTGCTGAACAGCAGAGGGCGCCCGCGAGTGAGTCCTCAATGAATGGGAGTAAATGGAGCTCAACGGCTAAAAACGAACAGTTAAAATAGTTTCTAATCACTGAACCAGAACTTTCCTTTAATTTTAGACAGTAGAGGGATGAATTTCACTAAAAAACAAAGAAATCTCACCTGTATGTTTCCTTTTTTCTACAGCAAACTTGTTTTGGGCAGCAGAAGGCGGGCTTTACTGCTAGAGCGTGATGATTGATTGGCGAGCGGAGCAGCTCATTGGCTGTTCGCGCTCACTGACGTCACGGACCTACATGAGGCGCCGTTTTAAGTTCCTATAACTCGAGTTTAAAAGCTCTTAAAAATATAACAGCAGTGTTCAAATGTTTTATGCTGTTCTGTGTTCAGGAAATTATTGTATTATTTTATATTAAAAATGTTTAACATTTATAAACTTTGATTTTGCTCAAATGCTCCATATCAACCCATTTTGGACTCACTCGGGAGCGCCCTCTAGCGTTTGAGAAAACCAGAAGACATTGCAGAGTGGAAATTCTCTCTACAAGTTCTCTGCTGGAAGTACTGAGATCGCGCGTTTATTTATTTATTGTTATTTTTTCCTTTTTTACATAAATCATCAAATTGATAAAACATATTTATCGTATTGTTACAGTTTTTTTAATGCAACAGTTCGACATAGATGTAGATGTAATATATAGCTTTATATTTTTCTTATGATGTTAATGTTACTGGTAGTTGGGTATCTGATTGTGTCTAATAATTATAACATTTCTCTTTCTCTGTTTGTAAGTGTGGCTTTTATAAGTAAGTCAGATGAAATAAAAAAAGGAAACAAAAATTAGGAAGTGTTCACGTCCACACGCTACGTCCTACAAGCCGCACCCTACGGCCTGAGCCCCGCACTCTATGCCCTAGAGCCTGAGTTCTACTGTCACTTACAGCCTGGGCCCCACTCCCTGCACCCTACATACTGCATCCTACAGCCTGTACCCTACTCCCTGCTCCCTACTTACTGCATCGTACAGCCTGTCCCCTACTTCCTGAACCCTACTTACTGCATCCTACAGCCTGTACCCTATTCCCTGAACCCTAACTGTGACCAACAGCCTGGGGTGGCCAACCATCCCGTAAAATAAGGAATCATCCCATAATTGGAAACTAAAAGACATGTTCCATATTAACAGATAGATAGACAGATAGATAGATAGATAGATAGATAGCTACAAACATTTGTAATCTAAACAAAGGGAAAAAACCTTTATTCTGCATGTGAATCATGTATTTGAAGGTTTAATTATGATTTCAGGAGTCAAATTTATTTATTACATGTTTATTTGTAAAAGGGCAGTTCCAAGTGTTTTACAAAGTGCTAAATAAAGGAGGGGAAATAAAAACTAAAACAAATAAACAAAAAAAGTGTCTAAACAAACAAAAAACAAAAAAAGTCTAAACAGAGAGTGAAAATTACAAGCAAATCTGAGATCTTCGGGCAGCAGATTCCAGCTTCAAACAGCAGGCGAGCTGGTTTAGTGCAGCTCAATGCGTTATCGCAAAATTTAAACTTAATTTTGGACGGCTGATGTTTTAAGAGATCATTTCATATATTTATTATAGGCCGCTTTGGGTCAGTTTTGGCAGAATTTTGTTTGTTTCTTGAGATAAGTTACTCTCAAACTGCAAATTTAACATGGTCCAGATCATGGCGAGCTTGAATAGCAAGTTTTTGGGCAAAATTTGTTTTCAGGCCAAATTTCAAGCTGGATTAAAGCTTTGATTTGGATCCATTGGTACACCGAGGTTTCTGACTTGGTCTTTAGATACTGGAGCTCTGAAGTGTGCACTGACCTTCAGTCTTTCCTCCTCACTGCCAAGTAATACAACTTCTGTGTAGATTTAGCTGGAGGAGATGTTGACAGATCCTTTAATACAATTCAAGATCTGTTTCTACAGCACTCTTTACAACAAGCGTCACAAAGCAGGTTCAGAGAAAATCCAGGTCCGAGCCCCTGATGAGCAAGCCAAGGGCGACGGTGGCAAGGAAAAACTCCCTAAGAGCAAGAGGGAGAAACCTTGAGAGGAACCAAGACTCAAAAGGGGAACCCATCCTCCTCTGGTCGACTGGATTTGCTCTGAGCACCGACACAAAGTATCTATGGGACCACAGTCTTTTGGTGAGAGAGTGAAGTAAACCTGGGTGTCGTCAGGATTCAGCCTAACAGGAGAACGAAGAGAGATTATGAAGAGGTTAATGGAATAGATACATGAGCTTAAACCAGGCAGCTGATTTTCCTAAACCAGCAGAACATCCTGGAACAAATGGACGCTCTGCTAGGCTTCTCCTTTTTTGGCGGCACACTGTTGGATCCACCTGCAGAAAGAAGATTTCACATTCAGTGTTTTCATATCAAATAATGAAAATGGATATTTTACTAAACATGTAGTGCCTGTTTTAAAGTTATATTGCCATTTATCTCAAACTTTACTAAATCTAAACTACACATAAACTTAATTAGCCATGTAAACTTACTCATATCAGCAGTGCGGCGACTCTGCAAATGGTCCTGATCTGAAGTATGACCAGCATTATTACCCTTTCTGGATTTCTGTGATGTGAGAAATTGATCATATCATTAACCTCGAAATCATTTAAGTCTCACTATAATTCAAAGTGTTCATATTAATAATGCATATAATATCATGTTAAGAATATGATGTACATAATGTTACTGGGACAAAATAGCACAACATTAAAACTACTTTAAAATAATTCTTACCTTTTTGAAGATGCTGAGCTTTGGCATCTTGAGATGGAAGATGTTCTTGAGCTTCTTCAAGTTCTTCGGCCTCTCTGTGTCGGGCCCTGCAGTTGAAGCATCTGCATCTAGATGCTTCCGTAAGGCAGTCATCAGGGCCTCATCAAATGCAGAGTCTAGAGGGTCCAAAGCTTTATGCAGAGAACCTTCCTCACCAAACCTTTGTAGGAGCTCAAGAAACGTACCCGTTAGAGCTTCCTCCAGCTTTGCAGCACTAGAGGATGCAGAGAACTTGCTGAGAATTCTCTCAATCAGCTCTTTCGGATCGTTCGAGCTCGCTTCTTTTCTCAGGTCTGATGAAGTTGCTGCTGACTGCGCCAGAGTCCGAAGAACAAGCCAAGTTGCCAGGGTGGCATGATCCTTTGTTTCCGATGTAAGCAAACCTCTGCTTGAGACTTGGCTTGATAACAACGCATCATCAGTGGTCTGGCTGGAGACCAAACGTTCCTCTTTGATAGAGGGAGAGGAACCAGACTCAACCGATGCAGGACGGTACAAATCTTTGGGGTCTGCACTCTTAATTGCCCTGACAAGGGAAACAGCCAGTTTCACATTAAAGTTTGTGTCATACCAAACCAAAAGCTGCTGTGGGATGAAGTTGGTAACTCTGTGTAACGGTGTAATCTGGTAGGTTTACCTGTATTTCAGTTCCCTGATTTCTTGTTTTTTCTGTGTTTTAGTATCTCAGGAGAGTCTAACATGGCAGAGAAAGCTCTTCGTAACGCAGCAGCAGGTTCTCTCTCGGAGCCTGGCGACTCTGCTAAGTCTCAGGACGTCTCCCGTTTCCTACAGAGCCTGACTGATCGGTATGTATCGAATACAAACATACAAATATCCAGCACAATATACAAATGTATATACAACGATAGAAATATGAAATATACATATGAATAACATTACTATGCAACAGGAATAAAACACATATATGGCATTTATTATGGCTTATCTTCCATTACAGCTGTGTTGCTAGTGGGTTAGCTTTCAAATTACTAATATTATGGTAACAGATCTGAATCCTGATTGGTTAATCCTGGTTCTTCAGCCGCTGGTAGCCAATACAATGTGATGAAACAAGCTAACAGACATGACATTTCCCTCTAGGGTGGTTAAATAGACAAGACTCAATAATGATGAATTTATGATCATCACTTTAGTGCAAAAGTCGCTGTCTCTGTTACATCAGCACTAAATGGCTGTTCTCCTTTTTTAATCTTTCAGGCAACTACAAGTCATACTTGGTGGAATGCAGCAAATGGTGAGCTTTTATAATTCAAATACAATTCATTTGTATTTTTATTTTATGGTGAAATCACAGCAGATGAACCCTGTAGAGCAATGCTAGTGATGACTAATACTGTCACTATGTTCTTTTGCTTGTAGTTCACGAGGGGCGAAATCACCACAATGAACATGGCCATTGAGAAGATCGTGACCACATTGTTACAGAAAGTCATCGTTCCAAAAGTTTGTGAGGTTTTGAATGTGGATGCCGGGTCGCTTTTCCTTGTGAGACCAGGGTCCTCAAACCATTCTTGG